CTCTCTCTCTCTAAAAGCTTAATATGTGGTTAAAAATGCTTAATATTTGCTTAATATTAGTTTAAGTAGGTGTTGTACAAGCAGTGATACTGGAAGTATTACTCGCCAATCGATATTAAGTCGATACAGTCGATACGTACTGCATGTATTTTTATGATTTGAAAATGTAATTTTACAACTTGCGTCAAGGACAATTTCTCCTTGTTTTCCCTGTTCTCCCTTACTCGGCCTTACCCGTTCTCGTAGCTTATAAACGAATCTACACGCAGAGGAGCCGAGCAGGCGTCAAACACTAAATTAATTTTGTGCTCGAGTATAAACCCGTGTGTCGACGCATCCGTCATTTGCCCGTTACGACACTGAAAGTTTACCACATGCAAACAGCGCTCGTAGCGCCTGATAGGTAGACAAACATCTCGCCTGCCGTGCATGCGTGTAGTGCGGGGTGGCCTAGCCCGGGTCTCGCAGGCGTCTGCAACCCCCTTTTACTTATTATTGACACCGTCGTTGGGCTACTCACGAGCGCCTCCACGGCGGGCACGGGCCCGTAGGCCATGAGGTCGGGCTCGCAGCCCGCGGTCGCGTGCGCCACGATCCTGGCCAGGACCGTGGCCTTCCTGCGGGCGACCTCCGCGCCGGACATGAGCACCAGGGCCGCCGCGCCGTCGTTGATGCCAGAGGCGTTACCCGCCGTCACCGTGCCGCCCTGCAGCAGGGGGAGACACACAGAGTGGGGATTTTATTTTTTCTGATACGAAATGAAAGAAAAGTCGAGAAAAGTGGAAAGACGTGGATGATGGCCTTTCGTACCGGCTTGAACCTGGGCTGCAGCTTGGACAGCCCCTCCAGGGTGGTGTTCTTCTGGGGGAACTCGTCGTCGGAGACGAGCGTCACCTGGCCGTCGCGGCCCTTGACCGGCACCGGGACGATCTCGGCCGCGAAGAAGCCGGCCTTGATCGCCCTCTGCACGCGCGCCTGGGACTCGACCACCTCGCCGTCGGACTGCTCCCGGGTCACTCCGCACTTGGCGCACAGGTTCTCAACTGTCGAAACGGAAATGTAGCAGAAAGCATGTAACTCAGTGATTCAAAAGTTGGACTTTTCCTAGAAAACTTGAAAACTTTTGTAGAAGAAATTCGTAGAAAAATTGCAATATTTACGTCAAAATTTACAACAAAGAAACTTTTTAGATAAACCCGCTAAATGGAATCAAATTAACGTTTATATAGCTCTATATGTCTCTATATACATATATACAAACCAATATGTTTTAATTTATCTTGAATAAGGTTTCATTATATCTAACTATATATATTATATTTATGTTTTATATGTTATATAAAGAAAACCCTTATGAAGATACTTTTTTAAAAAAGAGAGAAGTAGTTTTTAAAACAAGATTAATTTATTTTAATGAAGGGATGAAAAAAAAAACACTTGAATAAAGCTTACCCGTGATGCCCATGTGGATGTCGTGGAACACGTCTGTGAGACCGTCGTGCATCATGGTGTCCTTGAGGCCCACTTCGCCGGCCTTGATCCCGGTGCGCAGCAGGGCCGCGTGCGGGGCGCGCGTCATCGACTCCTGGCCGCCGACGACCACGACGGCGGCGTCCCCGCAGCGGATCGCCTGGTAGCCCGAGGCCACGGCCTTGAGCCCGGAGCCGCACAGCATGCTGACGCCGTGCGCGGGCACCGAGACGGGCAGGCCGGCGCTGATGGACGCGTTGCGGGCGGGGTTCTGACCCTGGCCGGCCGTCAGCGCCTGGCCCATGATGACCTCGGAGACGTCCCCGGGAGCCACCCGGGCGCGCGCCACGGCCTCCCGGATCACCACGCTGCCCAGCTCGTGCGCGGGCGTGCCGGCAAACTGGCCGATGAACGAACCTGGGCGGGGTGCGGACAGCCGTTTTTAGAAAGGAGCCGGAAAGTTAAGAATAGGAACACTGTGAAAAATAGTGGGTAGGTTTACACAGGAATATTGTCCTTGACGCAAGTTGTAGGATTACAATTTGGAATCGTAAAAATACATGCAGTACGTATCGACTCCAAATCCATTGGCGAGTGAAAAATGTGCTCTCGTAAATTTACGACTGAAATTATAATTCGAGTTTACAAAAATTTTGTAAATTGACGACGGTATTTTTTAGAGTGGAAATTTCATAAACTCTTATGGACAAAGTAGATTGAAATTTTGAAAATTCCCACGAATTTTTCACATTTCTTCCTTTGTTGCAAGTATTATTTTTAACTTGTTAGATCAGTAAAAGCTGTGACTCTGTCACTGTAACTTGAGATAGTCTGCATGCGGCTAGCGACCGCGAGGCACAGAGGACGCTCGTACAGTACAGTTCATTCAAGGCCACTTACCGATTGGAGTACGCACCGCCGATACTATGTACACGCCGTTGTCGGACATCTTGAACAGCTTATAGTGGACTCGGAGCTGGGAACATGTAGTACGTGTGGATGCAAATGTTATTCTGGCCCGGGTGCGGACTTTCTCTCGCCTATATCAGACAAGCGTGGGTGGGACCGCCTTTCTCCGCTGATTGATTGGCGATACTACGAGATGAACTTTTTAAGAAATGACGACGTCTTATCGCCTTTGCTCCCTTGGATGGCAGTAAACATCTAGTTTATACTGGTATTTTGAAGAGAATTCCTTACGAAACCTAGGGTGGCTTTTTCATGGCTCTCTAAATGAGGTATTTCATCGGTAATGAGGGAAAAAATGCCAGAACATCACTACTTTCATCTGATTTTCGGCATGTTCCTCAAGATCTTCTTCATACTAATAATAATACCTCATTCAAACAACAATACAGCTTTTGACAAGACATTCCACCTGGTATAAAAAGCTAGTAGTCTTAAGGCTAGCTTTTTGTACAATTTCCTATTTATGCTTGTTCACGGCGCCGCGATTCTAGCAAATAATAGGGTTGAAAATTTCCGAAAATTTCCGGAAAAGTAAGGAATGTTACCGGGAAAAAACGAAACATTTCCGGGACCTGCCAATTTTCTTCTATTTTTCCGGAAATTTCTCTTATTTTTCTTGAAAATTTTCCGGAAACTTTCTTGGACTTCCAACCCTAGCGAACAAGCAACAACCCACATGATCGAAGCGTAGTACACGGGGCCAATATAGGACTCACTCACAAGCCTTTCTTGATATTCCAAAACGAGATGCAGCGAGTAGGGCTGGGGACTCGACCCGTCAACACGACGTAACTGTACACACGGGTGCGACAACAGTCGGGTGCAGCTGCTCCCGTGGTACTGGCGGACGCCAAGAAGACTGTGACTCTTCCCCCCCTAGCTACAAGTGTGGCACGCGTCACCCGAGTGACCTTGCCTTGCCCCTCCTCCTGGACAGACGCGAGAGAAGCTGACCCACACCCACACTGGAAACCGAAGTGTGTGAACGTCGCGCACTTGGAGGTGTGTGAATGCTTATTCTTACACTTATTATCGGAGTTAAAGATTAAAGGATGTGAATTTTCTTTAGATACCCTACAGCCTTCATGTGTGCCAATGTTCGCACACCTGCAAGTGTGCCACATTCATACACTTCTCTTCTCTGCAAATCTAACTGTATAACAAATAGACAGTTTAAACTGCAAAACTAAAAGTTCTACAGTTTAAACTGCAAAACTAAAAGCTCTACAGTTTAAACTGCCAAATTAAAAGTTCTACAGTTTAAACTGCAAAAGTAAAAGTCTTACAGTTTCAACAGCGAAACAGAAAAGTTCTGCAATTTGAACTGTCAAGTTGTTAGTTAGATTTGCAGAGTTGGGTATCGGGTTCATATTCGAATCCGGAGACGGACCGGCGGAGGGTCGCACCGTGTCCGGATGTGTCCGTTTCTTACCTCTCTTGGACGCGAGTACAACACCTACTGAAAGAGCGCAGAGCTGGCTCTCTCGGGTCGGGTGCACTCAGCGACTCAGCCTCAGTAGTGGGCCCCGCCGTCGCTCGGGGGCGGATATAAAACGTACGGAGAGAGCTCACGCCACTGCCGCCTCTTCTGAGTCAACAGCGTTATCTGTGCCTTTAAGAGGGCTTTCCCCTTCGCACACTCTTAAAATGTGTGACAGTGTGCTCGAGACCATTTTTCACCCTAGTAGCACAGAACTGTCGTGTGATTGTTGGACAGCATTAGAAAAACAGATACGGACTATCGGTGCGATATACGAAATGAGAAAAATGATTCCATGGTTATACTATCTTTTTTCATCGGGACGAAAATCTCTATCGGCCAGCTACCATAATGGAAGAGAAAACCACTGTTGTAGATTCGACCGGGAATCGATATAAATACAACTGAATGTTAGATAGTTTAAATTTGATAGACAATCGTCTGACTCTGGAAAACCCGTCGTCACTTTTGGATTTTCGTTATCGTCACAATAATTGGCCGATTGAAAAAAATTACACTGTGCGCGTCAGTTTTGTGTTACTAGGGGCACCCGAGCAGCGCCAGACCGTTTTAACATCTCGAAGAACAAAAAAAAGAAAGAAAAGAAAAAGAAACATATACCGGAAGTCAGGCGGTATTTGGAACGTTTCCTGCCACTGAACACGAGATTGTAGCGGTTTTTGCCGTCCAATTATAATTTCGATGAAATTTAGGTCGGAGAAGAGTAAATTGTCAGTTATATTGACGACAAACCTCTTGTAGCCTGAAGTGCTCACAGTGAGGCGCCCGGCTGCTTAAGTCGGCTCACCTCAGACGTTTTCAGCCAATCGCTGTCCTCAAAACCGAGAGGCTCAGCAACCACTCTATTTTCAAGTAGTTCCACGTGATCCCTGTGAAAAGAGGACTCCCACGGTCCCCGATGACTCACTTTGTTTAAAACAACGAAATCAACGGAATTCCGTGGATTGACAGTGATGTGTGTGCAGGGGTTACTTTTGAAATTACTGCAAAGTCCAGTTTGATTGATTATTAAAGCAATTTAAGGAGGCCAAGAAAATATTCACGAATTATTTCTTTTCTATCCTGTTTTATTTTTGCGTGTTATAAAATTCAATATTAAACCTACCTTATTGACTACCAAACCCCTTACAAAAGCTTACGGTGAATGTCGTTGTAATCTACAGTCACCCCTGCAGCACTATAGCTTACGCTACATTTTCACCGTAACTTACAGTGACATTCGCCGTAAGCTTTTAACAGTGTAAAGGAATATCACATATAAAAACAAGAATTAAACAAACCCACGACCATTCGTAGCTCTCTAAATAATACTAATTGGTGTAAACCTGGGTTGGCAGTTCCACAGGGAAGTAACACCAACTTACCCACCCGGAACCAGGCGGCCACAGCCATTAAACAGACAGCCCCCTCGACCAGTCCACGAGGCTCCTCGCGGCCCACCTAGCTGCGACAGTCCAGGCCGAGCCGCCCACCGTCTGGAGCGATGGGCGCAGCAAAATTTGCAACCGTTACGAAATATATCTGTAACTTTACGAAGTTTTAAACTTGTTGTTTCCGGGTTTTTTATGAGTTAAAACGGGTGAGGTGATCAAAACTAGGCAATAATTATGTAGGTAGGTTCCTTTTTAAACCAATCAAACAATAAATAAGTTCCGGAAAGTTTGGGTTTGTAAAGGAACGACACTTTTCATACATCTAAGTCAGTTTTTCCAATTATAACTTAACGCGCAAGGTTTCAGAAGCTAGGATTAAGGATAAAACAAGGGGGAATAGGCTCTAAAAAATCGTACACCGGAAGTCGAAGTTCACTAAAATTTACTGAAGTTTAAAAGCAGACGTCAAAGTTCCTCGAAGTTAAAAATAAAACGCCAAAGTTCCCTAAAGTTCAAAATAAATGTCGAAGTTCCCCGAAGTTCAAAATAAATTGCAAAAGTAATTGAAGTTTCAAGTATATTTCAGTACATATTTAAGGCTAAAATTGGCGATTTTGAGTACATACTACAACCGAGTCCCCTTCTTACTCAAAGCAGATATTTGCGGATCGAATTACAAAGGTTACGGAGCGAGAATTTTTCTTTCGTAGCTCTTGAGCAGTTCGAAGTTCGAGAAAATTTGTAGAAGTTTAGCGAAGTTTACCGAAGTTCCCAAAGTTCACTAGAGTTCAGCGAAGTTCGCCGAAGTTCACCGAAGTTCAACAAAACGTACACCGGAGTTCTAGCCTATTTCCCCTTGGTTTTGGTAGGGGTTTACCGTAGCCAATATTGCCGATTAACGTTCTAGTTTTGATTAGCAGATTTTAATCAATCTTCATTTTTATGCCTTATTGAATTTAAAGATACAATCCTTATAGCTTGTGTACTTTGAATTTGCTTTTGCAGCTGGACTGTCTTGTTACCAGCCGGCAGGCCATATTTTT